CATGCGCTGCTTTGTGAATTGAAAACTACCAAAAAGAAAGCCCATAATTAGAACAAACTTGAATATTTCTCCTAAACAATAAACAAATAGAGATAAATATGCCAATTAAAACACTAATATTAATATAAGGGGGGACACTCACAAACATAAGAAATTATAAATGGAAAGTCGTCATTCCAGTTGTAATTTAAGAAGGAACGCGCCTCTCGTACTTTACAATGCATTAGGCTAATGGACAAAAACACTCAGCCCAAACTTTATCATTGGCTTCGTCTCTTTAAAACCCAGCCATTTTGTCTTAATAACCATTCGCCATAGTTTTAAAACAAAACTTCATCTTCTAGAATTATAAATTGATAAATAAGATTCTTCTTTTCTTTTTTAAATAATCGAAAGATTTTCTGTTTTAAATCCTCTTTGAAACATTGATACTAGCAGAAACATTTGAATACATTAGAATTCTTGTAAAGATACGAGTCTGCCAGGCTGAAATTCATAGTTATTAAAATTAAAGATACTTGGGTCAATATTTTTTATTATCTATAAAATTTATGATGCAATAAGCGCGTCATCTGTTATGAAAATTCGAAATATTATGAACGCGTATGATTATTTTGAAAATTAATCCATTTCTACTGCAATGAAAAAATTAATGAGAGGACCTAGCTAATCAGTGGCGAAACCGTTGAGAGGGTTCGCCACTGATGAGCCAGGCTCTCTCATTAATTTTTCCAATGCAGTAAGAGCAGTAGAAATTGTTTACTTTTCAAAAGAATCATACGCGTCTACAATTGTTTCGAATTTTCAATACAGATGGCGCGCTAATGCCTCTTAGTATAATCGATTATGCATTTTTCTCTTTAAGTGTACTACATTTCTTAGCATTTTCTAAGTTCCAAAGACTTATGTATAAAATCCACTCTTTTAAGAGAATACAAATCCATAGACATATATTATACATATCAAGGAGGTACCATGTGTTTTATATTTATAATAGTTTCGAATTTTCATTTAAAAAATATAAAAAATATTTATTGGCCGAAGTATCCTTAATTTTAAGAATTAGAATTTTTCTATATAGAAAGAATAAATAGTAAATCTCGTATTTTATTTAAACAGAAGATATAGTCACCTTTTTTCCAAAATGGTCGTCCTCCGGGAATTGTTGAAGCGTTGCTCCACTCCGGAACCAGGAAATCGATTGCTTTGAACTTCCGGTGGTACGCCTTGGCACTCTAATTTCACACCAGAAGACAATTGGAATATATTTCATAACTTCCACAGGAAATTAACGTGCCAGAATGCTAACAAGTCATCGTCTGTCTATTATTCCATTTGTTTCCTATTGGTGAAGGAAACTATAGCCCTATTTAGTCGACTTTTGTAAATTATCAATACCCTTGAAATTATTGACTTGGAAATATTGTATCTAGTTTATTTAGAACTTCGAATATTTACATTTATGCTATTATATTTGTCTTTACATATATATACAAGAATTTTAGGTCGTAAAGAATATTCATATGATATTAACAAGGAGAAAGATAGAAAAACGAGAACAGAGAACTGTGAACAAAAAAAAGACATGTCTGGAAATATGTACAATCAGCATAATATAAATTATCAGATTTTTAAATATATTTGTTGCTATTTAAACCGAAATATATCTACAAAAGGTTTATATATATTATTATATATATTATTAATAGAGGAATATGTTTTTTTTTTCTGCATCTCTCTATTTTTTAAAGATATATATTTGATATAACGGTGTGTTAAGATTTTTTTTAAAATTAATATATACAAGGTAATGTAGAACGACATTTGAAAATGATCCCGCATGTGTTTCTTTTAAACGAAAAATCGCAATTTATTTTAAAGTGAAATAACGATTATTTCTAACCTTAGGGATAAAGTATGAAAGGATGAATTATGAAGAGTAATGATAAACGGAGAATTAAAGTGTCCCTGGACACTTCTACATTCATAAGCCGCATATTGTATTATAAATAAACAAGGTATATATCGATATGGTATATTAAACTGGCGAAACCGCTGGGAAGGTTTACCACTGATGAGCCAGGCCCTTCCATTAAGTTTTCCTATGCAATAAGAGAAGCAGAAATTTGTTAATATTTTAAAAAATCATACACGTCTATAATATTTTCTAATTTTCATATACAAGGTTGTATATGGTCACGAATTTTAATATATTCATATATGCATATATTGTATATATTCAATGAAAATACTATTTTATATATCTGAGTGTTTATTTTATTTATAGAATGTAAATTAATTTCTAAATTAAAACTTTCTTTTCATTTAAGGTCTATAAACAAAATTAGGAAGGTATTGCTATGTACAATATACCAGTAAATTTCGTCTCAATCCTCTTTTTATATATCCGAACCAATATGTGAATACTTCTGACTTAAACTTCAGCACGCAATAGTTAACTAATATTCTGTATTAGGTTTATCATATTAATTGACACTATATATTATGATATGAAGAGACAAAGGTCGCCTCTCCTTTCAAAATAGACGTCAAAACCAGACGCAATCTATTGACTGTCGCCGTAAATTAGCGGCCTCGGGTCGGTGAAAAAGGCACAACACCAGCTTTGGCAAACTAAGAAGAGTCCACCTAAAGACCATGGTTCCGAGCTGATGGCCCTCGTCAGTCTAGGGCGTACTTTATTCCATGGGATTCACAAGGGATCTAATGGAATCTTGACAATATGCCAAATTGGTGTTTAGCTGGCAAAATGGCTGGGCCAATCTAAGGCTAAAATATAGATGGAAATTTTTCCGGGAGAAATTTTTCCGGGGGAAACCATGATCTCTAGGTGGACGCTTCTCAGTTTGCCAAAGCTGGTGTTTTGGCTTTGTCACTATCGCCATTACTTTTTATATTATTCATGACGGACCTGATTAAAATGTATGACAACTCAGATCTGACGAGTGTATACCTTCCGGAATTTGGTGATGTTCACCTGCTGATGTATGCAGATGATATTGCTATTATAGGGGAGTCGAGGGTAAACCTCCAAAAAAAGATTAATCTATTGAAGGAATATCTTGGTGTGAACGAAATGACACTGAACGAGTCCAAATCGAAGGTTATGGTATTTCGCAATGGTGGTAAACCCTCAAGAGAAGATAGATGGTACTGGAATGGTAAACCTCTGATGGTAACAAGAAGATATATCTACTTGGGATACCCTCTGGTCAGTACAACTAAAACCACTCAAGCCGCAAACTTTTTCAAAGGAAAAGCACTTGCGGCAATAAATGCTACAACCCCATTATTGGCGAAATCAAAAATTAATTCACTAAACTCTGCAATGAAACTGTTTGACTCAATTGTGATGGCGGTTTTGATGTATGCTGCTCCAATTTGGGCAACAGAGTATAAAGATTTATTGGACCATATACAAGATACATTTATTCGTAGGTTTTTGAATTTGCCTAGATATACACCAGGATACATAATAAGACCAGAAACAGGCCGCGTCTCATTAATAATAACAGCTCTGAAATTGACCTTGAAATATTGGCTGAGGGTGCTGGGTATGGATACAAATAGACTGCCTCGAATTTGTTTAACTAGAATGAGGCAATTATCCTGTGCTACAGGTGCGCCCATCGGTTTTATAAAACAATTAAGCAATTTACTTAATAATAACGGATCCTCGTGGCTTACTTATTGTAATGATCCTGACTCACTAAGGAAAGCTATCCCTGGAATATTAAGAACTGCGATAGAGCAAACAATACAAAACGACCTAACAAGAATAACCCAATCAAAGTTATATTCCCACTATAGAGACATATATACAACCTTTACCACCGAAGAATACTTCTTAACTGAACTCCCTTTTCCTATCATCAGATTAATTGCACAATTTAGAACCCTTTCAATTTTTTTCAGAGAACACCATTTGATTTTATTGAGGCGTGAAGACCTGAAATGCACTTTCTGTGGATCAGGAATAACAACGGAGATGCTGCATTACTTATTTGACTGTGCTGCTCTGTCTGAGGAAAGACGAAAATTAAATGATAAAACGGGGCAACTTTGTCCTTCATTCCCGGCACTGATTAATGAAATATCAAAGAATAGGTATATAGCGATGGCGATATTTGGATTCCACAAGACTATATCCCGGAAAAAGGCCTCACAGTGTTCTCCCTATCCCTTGTGAACTGGCGAATCCTGTATGGGGCGAGTGGCCCCAATAAAGGCTTTTTGTTGTTGTTGTTGTTGTTGTTTTGGCTTTGTCACCGAACCGAGGCTGCAAGTTTGCGGCGACGGTCAATAGATGGCGTCTGGTTTTGACGTCTATTTTGACGGGAGAGGTCACCTTTGTTTCTTTATTACCTTTCTAGTATTTTATAAATTTTAATTTCAACATGACTCAAATAAATTGCCGTGTCATCCTAAAGTTCGTCTTTTCTAATTTTATACGCGACATTTTTATTGAGATGCTGGGTATATTAGAGAAGACTTTGTGGCACTGGATGCTGTGGACTGCATTTTCTGAAACTGGCTCTAAGATTCAATCGCCGTTAGCTGAATTTATCTTTTCACACTAGTTATACACATCAGAGATGATGTAAAGTTTAGGAATGAGTAGACTGGACTTGCCGTTTTCTGGCGGCAACTTGACGCACTCCGTAACCAGTGTCTGGTAGTCGTGGGACACCGATGAACAATGGGTGTGAGAATTGGAGATAACCTGGAATCAAATGGTCAAATGTTATATTTATATAAACTATCGGTGACATTCACATTTCTGTGGATAGGGTGGTAACGTTAAACCAATGTGTTTATTCGTTAGGTTAGTTCAGGTTAGGTTCAGATAGGTTAGTTCAAGTTTGGTTCAAATAGGTTATTTCAGGTAAAGTTAGATTCAGATAGGCTAATTCAGGTTAGGTTAGTTCAAGTTTGGTTCAAATAGGTTATTTCAGGTTAGGTTAGATTCAGATAAGCTAGTTCAGGTTAGGTTAAAGGGGGGTCGGTGGAAGGCTGGTTAAACCGTTTGGTTTACGACCACTACGACCCGGGTTCGATCCCCGCATTGAACACTTTTTTCTGTTTAAAAAAAAATGCTCCAATGGCCCCCCGATTCTTGCAAAAGTCCAACCCCACCAGCGAGTGCAAGTAACCAAACGGGGCTCTGGCACATTTGTAAGTGCAAAGTCGAACTGCTTTCACATGTGTAGACATGTGGTGCGCTTACAGTAAAAAGCAGTCGCTAACTACCCACCATGATTATCATGGCCTGTACCACGTGTACTAGGGATAAGCAAAAAAAAAAAAAAAAAAGGTTAGGTTAAAATAGGTTAGTTCAGGTTTGGTTCGAATAGGTTAGTTCAGGTGTGGTTCAGATAGGTTAGTCCAGGTTAGGTGAGATTTAGATAGGCTAGTTCAGGTTAGGTTCAAATAGGTTAGTTGAGGTGTGGCTCAGATAGGTTAGTTAAGGTTAGGTTTAATTCAGATAGGCTAGTTCAGGTTAGGTTCAAATAGGCTAGTTCAGGTTAGGTTCAAATAAGTTAGTTTAGGTTAGGTTCAGATAGGCTAGTTCAGGTTAGGTTCAAATAGGTTAGTTCAGATTTGGTTCAAATAGGCTATTTCAGGTTTGTTTCAGATAGGTTAGTTCAGGCCAGGTTAGATTCAGATAGGCTAGTTCAGGTTTGGTTCAGATAGGTTAGTTCAAGTTAGGTTCATATAGGTTAGTCCAGATAGGTTAGGTTCAGATAGGCTAGTTCAGGTTTAGTTCAGATAGGTTAGTTCAGGTTTGGTTCAAATAGGCTAGTTCAGGTTAGGTCAAATAGGTTAGTCCAGGATAGGTTAGATTCAGATAGGCTAGTTCAGGTTAGGTTCAAATAGGCTAGTTCAGGTTTGTTTCAAATAGGCTAGTTCAGGTTTGATTCAGATAGGTTAGTTCAGTTTAGGGTCTCAAAAAGGTTAGTTAAATGTTATAGGTTGTTTAAAATATAGTGAATATTGCGTAGGCGTGTAATAATACGATAAGAGAAACGTTTTCAAAGATAACACAGAAATTGTTGGTTGGAAGTTGATTGGAGAAAAACACATCAACCAATAGTTTAATTTGACTTCCGATGTTTCAGTGACTTCCTGTTACTCAGGGGAATATTTACTTCCTAGTTCTACTGATTCCTACTTGGTTGTTAGTCCTGTCTTTGTAAATATTAATGGATTTTTTTCTAAAATATCTAATAATTGTATGATGTGTTGAGGTCAGGATGTGGCGATGAGAGAAGACGTTAACACCAATGCTGAAAAAACTTGCAACAATAACTTTATTTGCCTATAAACAATAATTAGATATATTTTTAGATAAATAAAGATAAAATAATAGCTATGCAAAATTTTCATTATTATATTTACTGACCATTAAATATTCAAAGGTTTTATTATATATATATTATTTTTTAATTAATATATATAAAATAAATAATTAATTTGGGATTTATTATTAACTGTCTACTATAAGATACGTCTAAAATTGATATATTCTTTAAAATTAAAAAAGGCATCTCCTTATCGGGAAACTTAAATCTGCTGATGGCTTGCGCCATCTATCCTAATAAATATAAACTATTCATCGATTTATTTCACATTGATATATGCGTCTTATTCGTCTACATATTAGCTCTTTATTGTCCACGTGACTTTAATCAGACGAAGTTCTTTAACCAATCAACATGCAGAGTTTCTTTATGGTTGAGACATCAAAACTAAATTATATAATAAATATAAGATGGTAAGTTCAATTTAATGAAATTTATCTCAAATATTTTTCTTTAAAAAACATTTTGGTGTCGCTCTATTAGCATACTTCTCAAAAAAACAAATTCATATCAGGGTTTTCTATATGAAATATATTGTGTGCTTAGAATATGTTTATATTATAGAGAGAGATATGATGCGTCTATATTATCTTTTATAATATTCTTTATTGATGAATCTTATCAGCGTGAAGTAATAATTAGATTTTATTGAATAAAAATACATTTTTTAAATAAGATATTTCAACTATTTCTGACGCGTATGTTTCCTTAGAATTAAAACAATTATCTACTGCCCTTACTGCAATTTTAAAATAATCATCAATGATGACCCTCCCAGCAGAATCACAGTTCAATTCGCCATGGTAGAATATACTAGCGAAACCGATGGGAGTGTTTACCACTGAAGAGTCAGGCCCTTCCATTATTCTTTCATTGCTTTAAGGGCAATATAAAGTTTTTGTTTGAATTTTATATGCTAAATTTGTAATTATTCATATTTTTAATTCATAGAAGCCATTTTCTGTCAGACATATTCAATTTTTTTATCATCATCATTTATGCTTTTTTTTTCTTAGTTAGTTATCAAATCATTTGCTATTGTTGTTTCTTGTTTGTTTTGTTGTGTACCTTTTAAAGAAATAAAATATATAGAACTAAATAAATTTAAAATATTGGAAGAGTTTCTTTATTAAGGTATCGGGAGACAAGCTTTCGCGCGGTCGCGCTTCATCAGGCCACTGGCTCCGCAAAGGTGTGCAAAATATACAATCTCTATATATATAAAAGTCAATTCCTGTCTGTCTGTCTGTCTGTCTGTTTCGCGATAAACTCAAAATACTGAACCAATTGGTTCCAAATTTTGAATGTCGCTTTTTATAAACCTGAGGAAAATTTTTGGCTACATTTTGCTTATCATTTTTGGCTATTTCTTTTTTTAATTTGAAGAACTATTTTTTTACGCGGAGTAATCCGGAATGGAATGAATACCCAAATAAGGCCATTTTGTATACGCATCAGTGGCTCAGTGGTAGAATGCTCGCCTGCCACGCGGGCGGCCCGGGTTCGATTCCCGGCCGATGCATTTTTTTTTAACAATTTTTAAAACTCATTTATATTATATCTTCTATATATATAAAAATAAATGTTTGTATGTTTGTTTGTTTGTTGGTTGGTTTGTATGTCCGGTATACAATTTCGCAGTAGTTCACTAATTCAAACCAAAATTTCCATACATAGGTAAAAAAATATAACACATATAATATAAATATTTATATAATAACTGCTCTAATTTGAAATATTTGTTAGGTTTTATTTATTTATATATTTTCATTTTTAGATATAACTGATCTAATTCGTCGTTTAAAATAACTGCTCTTGAAATATTTGGTATGTTTTATTTATTTATATATATTTTCATTTTTAGATATAACTGATCTAATTCGCCGTTTAAAATAACTGCTCTAATTCGAAATATTTGGTATTTGGTATTTATTTATTTATATTCTGCTTAGCTCACGAACAGCGCCCTCTATCAAGGTTATAAATACGTTTAAAATCGATATCTTCTCAAATTTTATTAATAATATTTTTCGCTTAATAATTAGAATACTTGATCTAAATCGAAATATTTATAGACGCTCGCTCGATTTGAAGATTTACACATGTGTATATCGTAACTAATCTGACTGTAAAGTTTGGAGCGGGACATTTCACAAAAGTAACGTCCACGGTGCCAATTTATAATTGTAACGAATAGTATTTGAATAAAAACATTTAATCGGGTAAAACCCGGGCGTTGCCCGGGTCATTCGTCTAGTAGTATATAATAGTTGAATATGCTGGGCCTGATGAAGCGCGACCGCGCGAAAGCTTGCCTCCCGATACCTTAATAAAGAAACTCTGCAAATATTTTAAATTTATTTAACTCAATTATAATATTATTTGCATCAATATATCAAATATAGAACTAAGGTGTAATATTCAATTCAAGCATATGGAACCAACATCGATTCATTTCTAAAACAAAGCAAAATCATAAGCTTTTATAACTTTCACTTTTCATACAGTTTTTTTATTTGAAAAATAAATATACGCTTCAAAAATAGGTTAAATTTCTTATGACAGATGGCTCGCTATTGTTTCATATATAAATGCATATTTATGCTCAATTATTCTCAAATGCCTTATAGCATGTACAACGTACTAACGATATAATATGGGATCATTTTATATGTAATACAACATAATGCGGTTTATGATGGTAGAACAACATTGGAAATTTTCCAGAATATGTTTCTTTTGAACGAAAAATCGAAATTTATTTTAAAGAGAAATAACGATTATTTCTAACCTCAAGGATGAAGTATGAAAGGATGAATTGTGAAATGATAAACGAAAAAATAAAGAGTCCAGGGATTCCGTTTATCATTACTCTTCACAATTCATCTTTTCATACTTCATCCTAAAGGTTAGAAATAATTGTTATTTCTCTCTAAAATAAATTTCGATTTTTCGTTCAAAAGAAACACATGCGGGATACTTTTCGAATATCGTTCTATAATTTTATATATGTATTTTGTAGATATAATAACAATGTTATGAGTATATGTTTATTGTTTGAGGAGGGTATCTGGAAGAGTTACCTGTTTATGGGCGAAAGGAACGTCGTAGGTTTGTTCTGATACATCTTGAGGACACCGCATGCTCCGACGGCAGGACGTGTCTCCAGCGTACATGGATGACACTCTCGAAGTCGCATATGGAGAAGGATAGTAGATTGATTCTCCACCAGTGGCCGCTTCTTCGTATACCTTTTTACCCATGGCCGCCATTAGCATAGTATCTCCCTTGAGATCAGCTCCTGCACCAATAATGTTGGCAATAAAGACTCGCCCGGGCGGTTTCGAAGCCAGGGTCATAATCATTAGGAAGCTGGGTCCCTATCTCCTCTCTACATCTTATCTTCTAACTACCCTTATCGTAAAGAATAAGCCATGCTCTTTTTTCTTCACTCTCTTTTTCGCGCTTCTCTCCTATTCATTTTATTAGGGTATATCCTGAAGATTAACTTAATGGATTGCTATCCCACTTTTCTTTTTTTTATCTCTTTTGTGGATATCGAAATTCTGATAACCATAGCGATGTCTCTGTGTGGTATTGTCAACTGTTTTTTACCTTTTTTTGAATGGGATTTAATGATTGATTCGAGTTTAATTTATGTAAATTTAATCATTATGACGAATAATGTGTCATATTTAATTGGTCTCAAT